ATTTCAAAATTGTTTGAAATGCAGACTCATAAGATACTAATACTAATACTAAATAATGGTGGTGATAAAACCTGATTATTTTAAAAAAAGTGTTTTGAAACATATGGTTAATTTTAAGTAAATTTTGCTTAATTTTTTTAAATGCAACACGTTATATAATATTAATTTAGATTAAATTCCTTATAGATTTACCTATCCAACGTTACCAACATTTTAACCAGTAACACATAGACAGGATGTCCCATCAGTGCTTAATAGCTGCTTTATTATTGGAAATATGAACAAAATAAATTAATATTTTCCAATTCTTAAATCAAATACTGTTTGATTCATGCCACGTTACGTCATGCGCGAAAAATGCGAAATTCGGTCGAATTAGTAGCATACCGGTATTTGGGGATCGTGGGTAACACATTTTAAACAATAACTGGCTTTTTATAGATGCTTCTAACCAATCAAAAGAAAAAAAAAGTATCTTATCTTTTATAAATTTAAGTATAACACTAAACTAAAAAAAAATTATTTTTATTTTACGAGCGGTCTATTATAAAATTTTTTATCTTATTTTATTTTTTTTTTGATCCCCCTGTAGACTTACTAAGTTTTTTAAAAGTCAAAATTTTGCTTTTTTCCTAAGTATTCCTTTAGAATATTTTCCAACTTGCCACACAAAGTTGAGGAAAATCAGTAAATAATTTAATTTCTTAAGGGGGGTAAGGTTAATTCGTCCAAAAAATCCACATTTTTGTGATTTTTTTTTTTGACGATACAGTAAAAACCTGTTTATTTAAACTAATGGTACGTTAAAGTATATTCAAAGAATATTGTGTCTTGTGTCAAATTTTCATGTAGAAATATTAAAAAATACGGAAATGGCCGCAATTATTCGGAGGCGTCTCGGAAAAAAGTAGAATTGCATGCGGTGCCCCTCCTAACTCGGTGCTGGATCATCAGAAATAAAAAAATCAAAGTTCTTTCGTTAGATAATCGTTTTTCCCAAGTAACGCTGGAAGGGTTTTTTTCAAAATTTCAATTTTCACTTTTTGGGAACACTTTGAAGTAAAAAACACGATTTTTGCGAAAAAATAGGCTAATTTGTTATTATAAAATAAAAAAAAAATATATTAAAAAATTAAAAAAAAACTCTCCAGCGTTACCTCGTATATTATGTACAGAAATAATGTTTAAAATTTTAAAAGGATAGGTGCAGTAGTTTTGAAGTTATGAGGGGCACCGACTTTGGAAACGTTAGCTGTGGGAAACATTTTCAACACTAAAAAATTTGGAATAAAACATTCATAAGCGATTTTTATTAGGTTATCTCCCACAAAATCATCGATGCCCAGGTACATAAAGGATGTTCCATGATGTCTAAAGCATCTTTTTGATCCTGTCTACGACGAATTCTCATTCATGAGCACTTGATCCACTAGTGATTCCCATGTCTTGCATGTAGGTTAGTAAAGCAAAAGAACCTGCCAGGCCAATGTTACACTAAGGGTGAGATTACAGAACGTCTGCAACTTTGCAGATCTGCAAATATGGCGGCAACTTTGCAGATTTGCAAATATGGCGGACTTACAGATGCAAGTATCCAAAAAATATCTGCAAATTCGCAATATTTATTATCTGTAACAACACTAAATCCAAATCCTCCCTTAAGAAGGTTAGAACATCCTACAACTATGAAGTCTTCTGTTTCTTTTGATTGAATACAGTTCATGGTGTCAGATTATTGAGTTTTTAAACATAGTAATGGATTTGAGTTTAGTGTTGTTGCGGGTAATAAACCACAATAAATATTGCGAATTTGCAGATCTTTTTTGGAATACAAAAACTTGATACATGCATATGTAAGTCCGCCATATTTGCAGATCTGCAAAGTTGCAGACGTTCTGTAATCTCACCCTAAATTATATACAGTACAGGTATAAACACGTTTGTACTTGTGATGAAATTTATATAAAGAAAGGTAGGAGGTAAGGTTAGGGATTATATAGAGAGCGAAACAGCTGCCAGGTAAAAATAGCGCCCTCGGGCCGGGCAGGTGTTTTACGATGCACTGAGTCATGTATGAGGCGCGGTTACTCAAACCGCTGTATCTTCGTTAATTTTGCTCAGATTCATCTCAAATTTTCACAAAATATTCTTGAAAGGTTCTCCATTCACAAAATCAAATATAAAAAAAATGCAAAACAGTTTAAAAACTTAAATATAAAAACTTCTTTAAAAAAACGATAAATTAAAATTTTGTTCCTGTTTGAATAGTTTAAGGTAAGGAACAGGCTAAGTGAAATTAACGTGGGGAATGATGCGTCATTTAAAAATAAATCATTAAGAAATGAAATAACATTTATGCTTTATACATATTAATCTCTTTGATTACAAAATATAGCTATGTCGATGTGTTAGTATATTTGCTATTTAAGTTAACTTTATATACGTTAACCGACGCGTCAAGCAAAATAAATATGAGGCGCCTAATTATATTTGGAATTGAGCAATATAAAGAGAGTAATTTATGAAATACCCCCCACTTTATTAATAAATACAATCACTGTTTTATTATCAATGTGAAGTAAGGTACGACAATAAAATTGGTCTTTTCGGAAGCAAAACGTCTCAGTTCATAAAATACTGTTAGTAGAATTGTTTTCGTACACAGCCCCCTTCTCTGTTTTGGAGGCATCAGTCAAAATAATCATGTTAAATTCTTGGTTATAAATATCTGTAGCTATTAAAATATTAATTTTTCTCCCAATTTAGGTCGTATTTTAATGATGCAGAAATTAGCATTCTAACGTCATAAGATTAAAACTTTTTAAGAACTAAATTCCTTACATATTCATTTTGTATAAAAGAATAATGGATTACATTTAAATATTTTATGTCAAACACAATAAAAATAATATTTAAAAAACACACCTATACATTTCTTCATAAATTGGCAGGCTTGGCGACTACTACTTCGAATAAAAATAGCGTCCAAGTTGCAAGATTATGTCGCTACCCCCTTAGATATACAAGAATTTCCCACTGGCACCTATTGTTTGACATGTCTTTGGAATGCCTAATTGACTATCATTGATTGTTGATAATTGTGCTTTAACCTCATTGTTTATTTTTCTGTTGCTGTCATAAATATCAGAATCAGTGATTAGACTCATATTTAGCTGAAATGGCTAATAAAAACTCATGTAAAAACATTTATTTACTTGATTATGAAAGTAAATTTTTATCATAACGTAAGCTACCAAATAATCGGGAAGATTAAGTTTATTGATGTACGTACAATTATAAATCTCTCGGTAAACCACTGAATCTAAGTTTAAAAATTGTGTAAAACGAAAATCCCTTTGTTGCCAGTTCGAAACAGTGTTGCAAAATTAAGAAGTTTATATAAAGAAGATTTGATGTGAAATAAAATTAATATTCATCTTTCTAGCTCTATAACTCAAAAACTGTAGGTTGGAGGGGATTCACTCAAACTTTTTGTAGCGAATTTCATGCCCTACAAAAGCTATTCATGGGTTTTTCCTATTTTTTTTTTTAATATCGAAACATTAAATTGAAACCAAAAAAAATTTTCCTATGTTATTTAAATGGGAAATCGAATTTTTTAATGAGCTAAGTCGCTATTGAATTTAGAACCTTTTACCCGGCGGCATAATTTTTTTTTATAAAGTTTCAGATTTTGAGGTAGCACAGCGAAAAAAAATATTGCCTGAAAATGAAGCACCCTAATAAATATACTTCAATTTTTCTGAAAAACATTTATGAAATCGATAGAACAATATGTACATTTTTAAATATCACTAATTAAATATCACTAAACTAAATTTTACCCATTTATAACTGTAATAGGTAGGTATATTTATACAGGGTTGGGATAATGTATGGAACCAAGTAAATATCTTTAAAACGAGAAGGATATTTATGAAACTTTGCAGGCAAGTACAATGACGCATAACGCATCTAATTCCATATTTTTTGTTACTACTGTACTTCCGGTTTCACCGGAAATACCCTTAACTTTTTTATTCTCATTAGTCTAAAAGAAAAAAATTACTTTAACAAATAGTTTCCACTAAACTTAGTATGTACAAATTCGGAATAACAAGATCTTTAAAATATGCAAAAATATACAGGGTGTCCCTTTTAAATTAAAAAAGGTGAAGGTATTTCCGGTGAAACCGAACGTACAGTAGTAACAAAAAATATGGCATTAGATTCGTTATGCGTCATTGTACTTGCCTTCAAAGTTTCATAAATATCGTCCTTTTCGTTTTAAAGATATTTACTTGGTTCCATACTTTATCCCAACCCTGTATTGAGAGCAGTAAATATAAAAAAATGCGAAGGAAAGGATTAAACTCTGAAACGTGAAGTTTATTTTTAATATTTAATGCCACGTAACTTTTAAATTGTAAATAATATTTTTTTTTGTAGGTACCTATGCATACATATTTTTATTTGCATTTTAATTTATAAAAACTAAGTACTTTTTATTAAGTTGCCACACGCCAATTATTTAGGCATTGCCCGAGAATTGTTAAAATGAACAGAAAACTAGCTAATTTTTCTATTTCATTCTTCGTACAATACACACATAATAGGAAAATAAAAGTAGAAAACTGGCGACAAAATTAAGATTCTGTGAATTTAGGTATTGTATTGGTACACATCACAATAAGGATTCGACCTCATCTGACATCTAAACGGAATAATTTTACTATATACCTAATAAAATTCACTATGGACTATTTAAAAAGTATACCTGCTATAATATATAGATAGCTAATTCGATTTTCTACAATTGACCTATCTCAATAATAAATAAAAAAAACCGTTCCCTGAAAAAAGTATGAACGTTTTCCCCGTACCTATTTACATAATATTTTCACTTTTGAAATCGAAATTTTAAACGAACATGGTGTATAAAACATCGGCGGAATATTAATAGGTATATCTATTTCACACGAGCAAAAGAAAAAACTTACTTTCACATCGACGCACTGTTCATCACTGCTCACAAGATAAGCACGACGGTTTCTTTTTAAAATATTTTAAACACAGTAAACCAACATTTCCCCGGCGCACCTTCAAAAAAACGAGTGAAGAGGTAAAAGAGGTACATCAAACAAACAACGTTTAAAACTAATAATGAATGGCAAGAGAATGCAAATAGTTAAGGTTAATGTAACTGCAATAATGCGTGTACGAAGAAGTAAAAAAAAATCTTCGCATGCATCAAAATACCAAAAAGGATGTTTGCTTGCGTACCTCTTTGCAGGGTGGCGGTCGCAGGACGCGCTGTTTCTGTAATTTCGTCCTTCAATCCCGGGAGACGGGCAGCGACACCGGGGGCGGGAAAATTTTTCGGGGGCGGTTGTTCGGAGACTCCCGCCCCTTTTCCTGCTACGTTTGCAAGAATTGCGGGAATTCTGTGTGACTGGGTGGCGTGTGGGGGTATAGGCGATGCAGCTCTGGGACCGGGAAAATCGTCTGACGGTGCTATACCTACCGGAAATGATAATTTTCTTAGAATTATTATTCTTGGAAAAACTTAAGTAGTGATATTTGCTTTCGGTAAGACGCTAAGAAAGATTTTCCTCAATTGGGAATATTATTCTGCTTAGGGGTCGTTATGATTGGGGTAGTTCGATAGTCCAGTCCATAAGGAATATCTAATCGGTTTCTGAAAATATAAATTTTTATACACGGGATGATATTTTAAAATGGCTATATCTCATGAACTAAAGATAATATTAGAAAATGCTTAAAACGGTGTCTAGGATACGAAGGGGGAACTTAAATTACAAAATCAGAACTTACCCCATCAACCCTCTATGCGCTACATCAATAAAAAGAACAATTCTCTACATCATGGAAAAATCCTGAAACTCTTATTTTCAAACGTACGTTCTGTTAGATATTTCTTTTACTATGATGTCATCTGTGTGATCGTGATAACGTCATCGATTTTTTAAATGGAACTGTAGTTCATGCGATTTATCATTTGAAAGGTATTTTTAATTATCTATTCAATCGTCTTAATATTTTTCTAACTTTGACATATAAAGTGACACTTTTTGTAATCGCAGCGCATCAAAATAATCTACGCAACCAGTTGCATAATATTCAACATTATGAAACTGGTTTCGAAAAATTCTTTTAAAATCAATAATATGCATTATTATTAAAAGTTTATATCAAAGAAGGGCAGATAAAAATATATATGGTTAAACTTACAACCTAGTAATAATGTTGTTTGGGTCCTTATTTTCCAGTCCAAATCAGCACAAAATAATTAAAACACAATAGATAGCAAAATAACTCATTTTTTGAAAATAAATAATTTTTCTACGTTCATGCAAAAAACAAAACTTTATTGAACTATATTTAGTGAAAAAACTGGTTCTTTATTGCACTAGTGAAATAAAAAATGTATTGCACTCATCTGTCATTTTACTACAGCGTTTTATGATCATGACGAACATAAATATTCAAATCAATGCCAAATATTTAGTTCATTTTCATTTTCTGTGTTACGTTTTGAAAACAATTGCATATTTTATATTATTTTCAATCATTTAATAAATAAATTAATAAAAAAATGTATTTTATTAAAAATGTCATTACAAATTATGAACACAAACGTAAATAAATGCCTCAAACAAAGGTACACGATCACAGCTATTATGATTTGGATAATACAACTGCAGTTCTATAAAACATTCTTTGGTTTTTGCATGAACGTAGAAAAAATATTGTATGCAACTCGTGCAAAAAGTGTTTATTGCACTCGACGTGTTGTCATGTCGCGTGCAATAAACACTTACTTTTTGCACTTGTTGCATAAATAACTATTAATAAACTAATCGTGGTTCTGTCAATAAAATTATGCCTATGCAACTAACAATACAAAAGAGTAATATTGGTTGCCTAAATGTCAGTAATATTAAACCAAAACACAATTTTGGTCCAAGTGGCTAAGTGCCAATTTTTTGAAAAATGAGATATTTATATAAAAGTGAATATTAGCAAAGTTGTACGAATGAAAGTTGACCCCCAAAATCTTGGCTTTTTATTTACTGCTGAATCTTTTTCTAACACAATAGATACTTCGATAATTAGAAAAGGAAAAACCATGGGAGATCTTAAAAATATCTCAATTAATAAGTTACCAGACAAATAAGATCGGTGATAACAAAAAAAAAGAACCTAATATCCATGATTCCTTATCTATGAAATCGTAAACACCAAAAATTTTACTCTAATTTAATTTAAAACAATATTTTGGCACTTAGCCCGTTTCTCAATTGTTTTATTTTATTTTTGATTTTTTTTTTTTTAAACATTATTTTTTGTTGTTGTTTGTGTCGCAAGTCTATTTAGCTGTAGCCAAATAAATCGGAATAACACGAAAAAAACTAAGAATAAATACGATTTAAAATATACGTGCAGGAGAAATTAACTTTTGAGGGTTGGCAACACTTCACGAGGTTGCCGATATGATAGAGCGAAAATACTTAGGATAACTTAGGTCGTTTTGTTTGATTTGTTGTGTCTACAGTGTTATTTAAAATTTACAAGATGGTACAGCTGGGCGTTCCTGACAAGACTCTGATAAGAGAAGTGGGAGGAAAACCAAAGTTAGTACAGTCTGTTCGCTATACTTACGCGGGTTTCGGATTAAAATTTTTATGAGTATTTCCAGGTAAGTACCCGAAAGTTTGACCTGTTCTTTGGGGAAATATCAACTGGTTAAATGAAATGAAAAATAATGTACAACTTTTTAATTAAATAATAATCTAGTCTAATGTGGCTATTATAAACCTAATAATAATTTTATATTACACTTCACACAGAAAATATGGTCTATGTATAATAAGAGGGTTATTTAGCTCAAACAAAATATTTTCTAACATAAAAATTTGTTCCATCTAGAGAATTTAAAATGAAAAATAAAAAAATTGAACTTGCCAACAAAAATGAAAATCAGTCATTATCATCCAAAATATCATAATCGTCATCATCATCATCACTGTCATCGCCATTAATTGTTATTATGACTGGACTTATTTCGTTTATTTTATTTTCACGAGTCCACCAATCTTCTATTAGTTTCTCGCACTTGGATATACAGTTCCGCCACACTTCTGGAGTTGCAATTAAAAGTGCTTTTCGCCAAGTTTCCCGAACTGCGTCGTCACAATAACCATTAGGCCCAATATGGTTGTCATAATATTGTTTTGCTATTCCCCATATATATATTCGATGGGATTAAACTGGCAATGATACGGTGGCAGACGTAAAACTTGATGACCGTAACTTTCAATAATCTGATCCACAATAAAGATTTTTGGTTTTGCGTGTATATTTGCCAAGCGTAATAATTCTGATTTTAATATATATTGAGGAAATGGTATATATGTTCCTTTGTCAACCATTCTTTAATTTTATCAACAGTCCAAGAATTCGTTGGACTTTTGTTTAATACTTCAGAATGGTAAGGTGCGTTGTCTAAAATAATTACGCTGGGCTCACTTAAATCTGGGAGAAGTTTTTCATGCAACCATTTTACAAACATTTCTGTGTTCATTTTATCGTGATAGTCAATGGATTTTGATTTAGATGAAAATATTAAATCAGCACCTTCTATAAAACCCAATTGCCCTCCTGCATGTAAAATTATGTCGCTTCCCTTCTCCATCGGTATGTTTGATGGACTTTACGTTATCATCTTGCCATATTCTCTTGGTTGCAGCCCTAGAAAATATCCATGTTTCGTCTAAATATATAAAATTCACCCCTTCTTCTTTAAATTTAGAATATTTTCTTAGAAAGTTAATTCTCTTGTGCACGACAGAACTTCTTTCACAAAGGGCCTCCTTTTGAAATTTGAAACCCAAGTTAAGTATCACTTGCCATAGACTTGTTCTGCCAATGTCATCAAATTTTCTATCTATTAATTCCGAGAGAATTGTATTTAAGGTCACATGTTCCTTGTTGGCCCTCATTCGATAAATGGTATCACGAATTTCAAATTTCTTTCCATCTGGAATATCTTTCGTTTTCAATGATATGCAAGTTTTGCGATGATCTTCTTTCGGCAGTTCACTTTTGTGATTTTGTAATACTCCTCTTAATTTGGTTTCACTAATTCCTAGAGCATCGCATACGCGTTGTTGTACAGACATTACCGATTTTAAAGGACCACCATTTTCTTTTTCATCCGTAAAATACTTATGTACACTACAAATTAGACTATCTGCATCTAACACACGTCTAGGCATTTTTAAAATTTCCACTAAATTTACAATATACATACAATGTCAACACTTGCAAAGAATCAATTCAACTGCAATATTTGTAACAAATTTAGTACCTACCCTAATGTTATTTTAATTTAAATCTGACCATTAGGGCAATTTTACCTAATTTCTTGGGAAGAGGCTTATTGGAACTGGTTGTCAATGACTAATTTGCATAATTTTATTAATCCGAAACCCGAGTAAGTATAGCGAACAGACTGTAGTGTAAAGAACTTAAACATAATTTTATTTAAATTTGGTATTTACTTTATACCTAATACGGTATTCCAATTTTTTTAATTTAATGATGGCATATTGTAAAATTTTCGGTATGTTTAATGTTTGTTATAACGCTTTAATTTTTCATTGTAGGTATATAGGTACTGCATGCATGTACATCTTCTGGATTTGTTTCTGGAGCAGAGTTGGTGTTTTCTTCTAAGACACGGAATGGTGATTACCATGGTGAAAATTGAAAATAATAGACACAATTTTTTAGATTGGTTTGGATATCATGGACTTAGAAGAACCTTCTACAATTAGAATGGACAATACCAGTTACCACAGTACAGTGGTCAATAAAGGGCCGACAACAGCTGTCAAAAAAGCTGATATAGAGAACGGGTTAACTGAAGATATATTCCTTTTGAAGCAACTTTTGTCAAAACACAATTATTAAATTTGGTGCAAATGTTAATATAAAAATTTCTATCTTTATTATGTTGATACTAAATTAATCCATATTAGAGTTTAAATTTTGAAGTTAATAAAGTTCAAAAATAAACATAACAGGAAAACTCTACTTTTCCCAAACATTTTATAGCTATTAAGCTGTTATTAAATCATTTACTAAGGTTACAACAGATGATAACGTGTGTTCAAAAATAAAAAAATAAACAATTAATAATATGTAGGAATAAATCACCAGAGGTATATGAAGCTGATATGTTAGTAGAAAAATATGGACATAAGG